CCTGTGTATCCTCCAGCATTTATAATGGGGTGTTAAATATATAAAAATGTGTTTTTAATTTATAGGGGGGGGGGTCGCACTCAGAGGCTTGGTATATGAAAGGGGTCACCAGTACAAAAGTTTGAGAACCACTGCCTTAAACTCATGTGCAAATCCCTCTAATTCTGAAAATGCCAAGTTCCTTTACTGCAAATATGCTAGAGAGCTCCTTGCCCCACATAGCCCCACTGTTGAGGGGGGGTCTCCCTGGCCTATGCAGCTCTTAACTATCTTTTGCTAATGAAATAGAAAGGCACTGGCCTAAGCCTGCCACTTTATCATTCACTGTACTCTCCCACACCAATTCTGAGAGAGAAAGATCCTTCTCTTAGCCTCTTTAACAGATCTGTGGACAGGGTGCTGCCTATATACTGTACTGCCACAGACACCTCAGTTTTGAGTTAGAGGAAAGAAGTAAAGAAAAATAAGTGGTATTTACCAGCATTTTATGCAACACACACGTCTGAGATTCATGTGATTTTCTGTTCTTCCCTATGACCTATTTCTACCTCCCTGTGGGATGCCCAGAGATTTGGTTCAGAGCACTGCTGACAGTGAGGGAACTGAAAACTATTGGTCTAGATAACAGTTAGTCCTGACATGAGTGCAGGGGACTGGTCTAGATTACCTTGTAAAGTCCCTTCCAGTCCTACGATTCTGTGAGTCAATTCCCAGCCCACCTCTTCTGAAATACAGACACTCTGATTCCTCATTCTATTCCTAAAGCAGGAAAGAAAGTGCTGAATCACACACCAGCCCTACACCAGGAGACCCTGTGGAAACCTTTATGGTAGAATACCAGCTTCCTACTCTTTCCATACACACCTGATTTAGGAGCAGCTCATATAGATTTGGAATCTGTGGCCAGAGTTCTAATTGGGAGAGGAGACAGTGGTCAATGTTTTATTCCTGAAAATCAGTTCTAAGTGTAAATACCAGTCTGTTAGGTTGACTTAACCCCCTGTGTAGATACAGCTAGATCAATGGAAGAATTCTTCCGTCAACATAGCTGTGGAGAAGTGGATAAGTTACATTGATGGAAAAATCCCTTCCATTGATGTAGGAAGCTGTGCTGCTGTAGGGGAAACATACAGGAAGTCTCCACTTTTCAGACCTGGATGGTGCAGTTCTGCTTTACCAGGGTCCAACCAAGACTGGGGGCCAAAGATGAGAGAACTGGCTGAAGCTTAATTGGGATAAGACCAATAACAGTGATAAAATGGGGTGGGAGAAGTCAAAGGAAATAGCCCAGTACATTTTTGGTGCTCGGGGAAAATAATAATAATAATAATAATAATAAAAAAAATCTATCCCTTAACCAAAAGGGTAGTCTCGTTATCAATAATTACTTGAACTATCTGCCACGCAAGATTGCTATATTCTATGAGTCTTACTGGACACTTGGCGGCTGCTGCTGGGAGTTTCTTTTCATCTGCGCTTGGCCAGAGGTTGTGACTTTTCCCATCAGCCATGAGATCTCAGCGCAGAGCCCACACCTTGATTACCAGTTGAATGACTGTAATGGGGTTGCACCAATAAACTAAACTTTGGCAGACACATTCTGCACTATTTGGTTTCAAGTATCTCTTGCATGGAACATATCCCTAAGGTTCAGAGGCTGGCCTGGCTCCTTAATGCACTCTGGGTGCAGTTTGACATGGGTTGGGTCCTGGATATTTTACACGAGTCTCACTTTGCTTTAATCCAGCAGCTGAGATCAGCTGGGACAATTGAGCCAGTAGTCCTTGTGGTAATGCTTTCTGGAGCATGGGGTTCTTGAAATGGAAGGAGGGGACTAAACTCAGAAACTGGCTTCCTTCCCTTGGGCTGAGGAGGCTGCATTTGATTGCCTTCCACGAACTTTGCTAGACTTCCTCTTACCCAGGATTTCACAGACAGGGAAAGCAAAGGTGGGCAAGAAGGAGGGTTTCTTGGTGTCTCTCTCCCCCCACTCCAGCTAACATTACAGAAGAACAGACCCAGCAAGAAAAGTACCTTAGAAAGAGGCATAAAAGAACACATCCCGGGGAGGGGTAGGAACATAGAAATGGAGATTGTTGGTCTAGAGGTACAGATTGAGTAACCCAATCAGGTACCTTTGAAGGAGGGGAGAAAGAAGAGAATGTCCATATCCAAATGTGATTTATTTCTAGCCCAGGGAGACTGAAGGTAGCAGGAAGTACATGAGTCAGACAAAGCCTAATTATTGACAAACAACTCCAAGAATCAGCTTAGTCTTTATTCAGCAGCTGAGACTTGAGAACCATTCTCCTTCCTTTCCATAAGTTACAATTGGATCTAACCTGTGATGGGGAAGGGAGAGCACGTCTCAGTCAGTGAGCAAAGATTAAAGGCCCAAACCTGCAGCTGCTGAGGTCAAGGAGTTTTGCCAGTGGTTCATGTGGGAACAGGATTGGACCCTAAATAGATTAATTGAAAACCTGCACCCAGGTTACTTGTCAAGCATCAGCAGAATGCCAAGTTGTTTAAACATTGCTACTACATAGGAAGATGAGATCAGAGATCTCTAGGGGAGAATGGAAAAGATTAATTATTGGTGCCCAAGATGATAAGAGAATAAAGTGTTAACTTGATACAAAAAAAGCTAGCCTGATATTACACATCAGAAGTTAAACCTGTTTGAAAGCAGAGCCTGTGAGAAGGAGAAGAAAGATACTAGGGTAAGGCTAGAGGGCCAATAACCCGGAGGCAGGGATTTAGCCCATAGGTGAGGGAGAATTGTGGAGGTAATACACCCCAAGGAGGTACACAATGTTACTGGAGTGGGGTGATACTCCACAGGGAAGGGCAAAGTTTTACTTCCAGTGGAAGAGACTAAAAATAGTATTTGTAAAGATACCAGGCAATTCATATATTTTAAGCCACTCTATAAAGCATTAAAAGCCATAGTCATAAAGAGAGATAAATAAAAACATTTTGAGGCACATCAGAAGCAGAAGAGAACAGAAAACAGCACAAGAGAGGTAAAGGTTAATACAGACTCAAGAGTGGCTATACTCAGTCATCTAGGGGGGAGGAAGAAAGGTTCAGACACATTTTTAAAAGTCACGCACAAAGGACTAAGACAGATTTCAGGGAGGAAAGAGTCTCATGGCTGAGGGCCCATCACACCGCAGGTCCATTCTCACACTGACCCAAGACAGTGGGATCACCGCAAGCCAGGCACGCATGATCACAGATATCTGGGGCAGTACGAGGTCTGAGGAAGTCTAGAATGACGCTTTAGCTGATTGCATGCAATGTGCCAAGGCCCAGCAGTACCAGTTTCAGGTCTATGTGGCACTTGATTGGCAGTTAACAAAGGATGCCAAGATCAATGTAATATGAGGATGGTTGCTCAGAGCAGCAAGCAAATTATCTCCTGCAATCTGCTCAGCAGGTAAGTGACAGAGCTACCCTGTCAGGAAGGAATTAGAATAACTGAGCTCATAGTCAGGAGGGCAGGTGATGATGCTGCTGCAAGGTCAGCATGGAATAAAGAAAGCAGCAGCCTGCACAACTACAAGAGCCATGTTCAAGTCACACTCAACATACCACGAGAGCAAAGAGTGATGCCAGGCTGCAAAGTACCTCTGAGAAAGTTGTCCAAATGTGCAGGGACACTAAGGAAGAAAGAGCAGTTCAATAACAACGACCCCTTCTACCTAGCTACACAGACTCGGTTCCCTCAGGATGCAAACAAGGTAGCCACAGGGCTGCAGCTGGCAAAATCAGCCATTTGTCCAGGCCAGGGCTCTAACTGCAGAATCCCTGGGGCACAAGAGGGTGAGGTTAGTGTTACTAGTGTGCAATTGGCACTCAAGCCTTTGGGTTTTAAGAGTGACTTTGCCTAGAGCTCTCAGGTACAGGCCAGCATCACAGATGGCAATTCTGTACTCCTGAGGTTCTTACACCAGACTCATCTCCATGGTATCCAAGGCAGCATGTCAATCCCTCAGTGATGACACAGAGGCCAGCATGGCTCCTGTCTGCTAGAGACAGCTAGAACCAGACCAGTTCCAGACACCACCCCACTCCCTTATGCTCAAGGAAGCCCAGCCTGGCCAGAGAACACGACTGACCCCAATACAAACCCAGCAGGCGTTCAGAGAACCTGGGACTGAGCCCAGACTAGAATCTACCCTGTCTATGCCAGGGGAGGGCAATAGGGATGGCTAGCGAGCAGTATGGGTCTCCCCGTCGTCCCAAACAGGACAAAGACTGACCCCACAGAGCAGGTTTTAAAGCACCCACAGGCTACAGATTCACACCCCTTCCCTAAACACACACAAAGATTTATTCCTCCTCCCATAGACAGCAGCCCCTTAACAGAGCACAGATCCCCCGCGCCCAAGAACAGGCTGCTGGCTCACTCTCCCTGCACAGATTCCCCTCCCCCCCCCCCAGGGACCGGCCGCAGGCTTATCTCCCCCGGCGCAGATCCCCCTCCCCAGCCCGGGGTCAGGTCGCAAATGCATCCTTCCCACCCTTCACAGATCCCCCCGCCTCGGAACAGGCTGCAGGCTCACTCCGTCCACGGACCGGCCGCAGCCGCATCCCGCCTCCGCCTCCGCCTCCGCCTCCCCCTTACCTGCGCCGCAGCGGCTACCACGACCCCAGGTAGGCCACCCTCGCTCTCCTTCTGACCTACTTTTCCCCTCCCAAGATATAAACAATCCACGCTCCGCACCGCCCCTTCCGCGCCCATTGGCCGCGGCTTCTCAGGGAGACGGGACCTCTCCTCATCCGACATTCTCAGTTGGACCGTGCTCCCCTCGCTCACAGATCAGGGGGCGGGGATAAAATCATTAATTTCTCATACCATTGGCCACATGGGCTGTCAGTCCTCAGAGGGCTGCGCCATTGGAGGAAAGTTTCTAACGCAGCCACCGAGGCGCTTACAGCATGATAACGTAACAGGTACGAAACACAGAAGCCATTGGCTGAGAGGAACGTCAGTCTGCAAGGTCAGGTCAGGGCCAAAATTAGTTCACGGGGCGGGATTGCACCCAGAGCGCGGCTTCCCATTGGCCGCGGCGCTCCTCTGCGCGTGACCTCGGGGCAGGCGGAAGTGCAGGAGCAGTGCTTGAGGCAGCATGGAGGCTGTGGGGGGTGAGTAGTGTGGGAGCTGCAAGTTCAGAAGGATTGGGGCCACTCTGCGGGGGATTGTAGGGAGGGCTCCCGCAGCTGTGCTGGGACCGCCTCGCTGCTGTAGTTCAGTGCCGAGACAGAGCCCACGAGCCTCACCAGGCTGGGAAAGCCCCGCGCCGTGGGGACTGCGAGGCTCAGCCGCTCACGCTAGTCCCCGGTCGCTGCCCGACGCTATGCGCGGGGAGCGATGGGCTCCCGGGAGCCGCCTCCAACGCGGGGGGCATCGCTGAACAGTTGCTGTTTGGACTGTGTGTCTGCGGCACCCAGAACAGCCACATGCGTCACTCGGAGCCGCTGTTGACCAGGCCTGCCGTGCCTTGGGTGGGGCGGGGCTTTGGCTACGCTGGGACTGGGGGTGGCTCCCAGCCGGGGTCTATCGCTTCCCCGTGACAGCGAGGTAGGTCCCCAGCATAGTTAAAACACAGCCTTTCAGAGCAGATTGTGCCTAACTATCTTGGGGACAATTATATCGTAGTCTAATGCAGTAGGTGTTCGGTGGGTTTTTGTAGTGTGGACAGTACCTAAAACAGCACAGCACCAGTTCCCAGGTGGAAGGGTATCTTGCTCAACCCTATCACATGGACTTTGCAGAAACTGATGAAACTGCCAAGAATTTGTGGTGTGACACAGTATTAATAACCTAGCTTAGTCCTATTCCAGCTACATTTTCTCTTCTCCTGTGACCAGCAACTTGGGGTTAAATCCACAAAAGGGCTTAGATGTTGCAACATTGAGCATTGCAGTACCTAACCTTTAGGCGTCCTGTTGCCCAGTGGAATCCTCAGCCCAGAGTTAGGTGCCCAGGCATGGGGAGAGTTAAGCACCTAAGGGCTGGTCTACGCTGGGGGGGGGGAGGGGAATGGATCTAAGATACGCAACTTAGTATCGAAGTATCTTAGACTGAATTACCTGGGGTCCACACGGCGCGGGATCGACGGCCGTGGCTCCCCCGTTGACTGCGCTACCGCCGCTCGCTCTGGTGGAGTTCCGGAGTCGACGGTGAGCGTATTGGGGATCGATATATCACGTCTTAACAAGATAAATCGATTGCTACCCGCCGATACGGCGGGTAGTGAAGACGTACCCTAAGACTAGGACCGACAGAATGGGGCTTATTATGCTAAACTTGAAGCTGAATAAATAAACCAATCAAAAATGCCAAGCAAAGGGGTGGGATGTAAACAAAACATCAATAGATACCTACTCTGGTCCAGAGGGAGGCACAGATCTCCACTTGGGATTCACAGCTGTCATCCTGCTCCTGGTCTTAGGCACCTAAGGGCTGGTCTAAACTAGAAAATAAGATGGATCCAGCTACGTTGCCGAGGGGTGTCAAAAATCTATATTGCTGAGTGACGTAGTTAAACTAGCCTAAGTCCCTATGTAGACAGGTTGATGGAAGAAATAGATTACATATGCTGGATTGCGTACTCTAGAAAGGAGGTGGGTTACATACGCTGATGGGAGAACCCCTTTTGTCGGTGTAGGTAGTGTCTACAATATAGCGTTACGGCTGTGTCGCTGCAGCATTTCAAGTATAGATAAGCTCTAAGTCAGGTCAGTCCCCGTCTCTATTTTACTCAGGTGTACATGCATGAGAGATGGAGACTGATGGTCACTCCATTATAACCAATAGCCCAGAGGTTAGGGCACTCACTTGGAAGGTGGGGGACCCATTTTCAAATCCCTGTTCTGCCCAATTTGGGCATCCATCCCTGGGGAGGATTGACCCCCATACTATTGCGTGTTTTGGGGTGGGTCTCTCTCAAGCTCTCTGGTTGGAACTGTTCCACTTTGTATAAATCGTTAAATGTTCATTGGAGCAGGAACTGGAATTTGGGGCTCCCATATCCTGGGTGAGTGACCTAACCACTAGGTTGTAGAATCAATTTCTTTCTGGCCCAATGAATAGTTAATTATTCATACAAAGTGGTCCAGTTCCAACAGGAGTGGCTGTGGGAGACCTGCCCCAGAACACCCCATCACATGCGGATGGGCTCTTTCCTGGAATATGAGTGATCCCAATTCAGGTCATTGCCATTTCCCAGGTGAGAGTCCTGACCACTGGGTTATTGGGCATTCTTCTGCATGCCACCTACCTGTCTCTTGTGTGAGGGCTTCAGAGAGGGCTGGATCAGGCCCTGCAAGTGAGATGTGAGAGAAGGGCACCTAGCTTGTGAATTCCATCAGGTCTTGTGATAAATGAAGGGGTGTGTGTGGGGCGGGGGGGAGAGCTCCCTTTTATGGACGCCCAGCCAGCCAGTTGTCTGTCTGTGGTGGGTTTCCTGGAGAGCAGAGACAGGGCTGGACTATGCTGTAAGAGCTTGCGCCAGGTATGAAAAATCATTAAATCATACCTAGAAACTACTCATTTGAAACCCCAGATATGCAAGTAGATCAGGAAATGTCTAGGAAGATGTGATTAGGTTTATCTCTCTTATTTCTTTATGGCTTGTGGACTTCTCTGTGGTAACCCCCAAATGCTTTTGTTTTGCATGTAACCATTAAGCTGGACCTCAAGAAAACGATTCTTGATGCTTAATTATTATATTTTTAAATCTAGCAATAG